TGTGAATACTGTGTGTATGGACACCTTAAGGCACTGTGTATCAATAAATGGAGATTTATTTTTACATTTCATTAAATATGGTTTTCACCTTTTTGTCTTCCTCATAGTGCGCTGCTCTCCTCCAGCAACTTTAAACCACTTCCTTTCTACATGAACTTGCTACGGATATGGCCGTACATCATTACTCAAAAATGGCTTCCAGATAGTGATAACGGTAGACCATGCCCGTACAATGTGTCAGCTCAATCACTTATATTTCTATTGGGGAGAATATGACAAAGCAACAATGCGGAAGGTGGGTGTCACCCCATAAGAGGAAGTTAGGTAGGCAGAATCACCAGGTAGTATTTTAATTAGACGGCCACCTATTGAAATGTTACCTTGTTAAAGTAGTATCAAACGCTCAAACTTTTTTTCAATAATGAATCCATAGCAAACAAATATGCATTGATCAACAAAGTATTTCTTTACCCAAGCACTTACAGTCATCAGGTTTCCAAACAGCTCCAACTCTCTCTGCTCTGATTCCCGGAACTTCCAGTCCAGTACAAGATCAAAAGGGACAGCACTGTCTGCTGTAGCTGTTAATCTATTAGTTTGGAGAAGAGTGGGGAACAGGGGAATGAGGAGTGCGGAACAGGGAGCAGGAGAGTTGCTTGTCTTGCATCTTACTAGCACACACATAAGGGTGGCCACCTAGGACCCTGTAAGGGAAAGGAGCCACCCTAATACAGGATATCAGGGTCACTGCAAAGGGGACCAGCTGATTCTGCAGGAAACAAACTTTAAAACCTCAAGGAGGAGCATTAATTGCAAGTGATTTAATCAGCATTTGAAATAGTTTAAAGCCTTTTGATTTTAACATCACTTTTAAGCTAAGACGAGATTTCAGTACGTGAGTTTAGATTTTCTTTAAGGATGATATGATATCATCCTAAACGTTCCTGTCCGGCATAACAAGGAGATGTTGCAGCATTTAAGTCACATGACCTAAACTCAGCACAAGGCCATGTGACCTGCAGCAGCACTGCATCATGCAAACAATTAGAAGAGTCTTTGTGCACTCTGGCTATAAACATTCTGCTAACTTCAGCACTCCAATGCAAGGTTGACAGGTTATAAGGTCATGTGACTCAGAGTGCTAAAGAATCTCTGTTGGCCTGGGCAGGTAAATTTAGGATTCTATTACCCGTTGCCACCATCTCTGCGGTCTCACTTTAACCACTTCAAGACAAGGTGTTTAGACCCCCTTCCTGGCCAGGCCATTTTTCAGTGTTCAGCACTGCAGTATTTTGACTGACGTTTATTCCGTCATGCAACGCTGTACTGAAATTAATTTTATACCATTTTTTAGGGACAGATAAGAGCTTTATTTTGGTGGTATTTAATCACCACTGGGGTTTTTATTTTTTATTATAAATTAGGAAAAATTACTGAAAATTTTTAAGAAAAAAAAAGTTTTTTTTTTACATTATGTTAGGAAACATTTATTAACCAGTTTTTTGGTAAAATATAAAAGATTGGGTCACGTCGGGTAAATAGACACCAAACATGTCAAGCTTTAAAATTGTGCGCACCCGTAAAATCGAAGAAAACATCGGGCATTTCCCACAGCGGTGCGCGCGAGGGGGCGTGTCTGAGCGGACGTCTAAAGACGCCCGCTCAGATCTAGAGAGCTCCCGGAAGCAGTTAAAAAAAAAAAAAACTAAATGTACCTTAATTTTTTAGTTTAGTGCTGCTTTAGGAGACATTAAGTAGAGACGTAGGGTTGCTAATGATAGAGGCAAAGAGACACGTTAGTAGAACAGAAGGCATCCAGGAGAGATGCCCAAACAATGAAGGTCTTGCCTTCAGCTGAGATTCAGGCCAACCGACTAGAAAGAGCAATTTCCGTCAAATAAACAAATATGATTATTTTAGAACTGGTACTGGACTGGCTGATAAATACAAATTCAAGAGTGGCAGTTTAACTTCCACACACCACAGGCTTCCTCATAAAATAAAACAAACAATCTACCGAGCTTCCTGAATAGTATGGAGCAATGTGTCCTAATCCTTTCCTCCCGTGGCTTTATATACAGTAGAATTCTTGCAACCCAAATTAATCACAGTTAGACAATGTCAGGGAAGAGGAGAGTAAGCCAATATTTCGTTCTAGTGGATCCATCACTGGAAGCTAATTACCCATATAAAAGAGCACCCAATTCTAAAATCTGAAAGCATCTTTCAGGTTATTACAATACTTAACATCAGGTCATCTATGTATTCTAGTAACCCCAAAGATTATCCACAGCACCTATTATCCTTAAATTGTATTTTAATTTTGACTTAAAGCAGAACTCCAGTTTTACTCAAGTTCAAAGTTACATTGACCAATACTGGTTGAGTACAGTTGCAATACTTACTGCCTCTCCAGCAATATCCTCCACAGATACTGATGCTTTTCCAGGATGAATGATGTCCAGCATTGTCCCACCAGTTTCCTGTGAGCCCAGGCTGTCAATGACATGCCTACTGGGGGCAACTAGAGTTACACAAACAGGGTTATTCGCAAAAGGGTGAAGAGTTTGGAGAAGACAGGAGAAGTGAACAATCTAGGCTAGGGCTGCAACAACTAATCAACATAATCGATTATAATCGATTATTGAAAAAGTTGTCAACTTTTATCCAACTAATCGATTTTGAAAATAATCGTTAGCTGCAGCTCTAATCTAGGCCAAAATAGCCGAATTGGAAAAATTCTCCAAATCCGCTCACTTTCCCGTTCAGCTATGTTGTCCTAGATTGTTCACTCCTCCAAACTCTTCACCCTTTTGTGAATAACCCTGAAAGTCTAGCTATAACCCTCCCAATAACTGTAACGGAGATTGGCAAAAGGAGCAGAAGTCAAAACACTGGATTTCTGGTATCTTATCTATATTATTATGCCAATGTTTTTAAACTTGCTTAAAGAGGACTAAAATAGCCAAGTAACAGAGTCTCTTTAAAACCCAACCCTTGACAAACTGATACTAACCTTTCCCTTGTTCCCCTCGCTCCCCAACACTTAACAATGTTTGGAATAGCAGAAATAAATAATCAGCAGAGAAGGTCACCTGGTCTGGTCAAACAGCCAGATTGGACAAATTCCATACCGCCTATGGGTAGCTTTAGGATTAAACTTTATTGTTCAGCACAAGCACAGTACACCCAGAGGGAGGATCCTGGTTGGAGGGTCTGTGCTTGTGATGAACAATAAAAGTTAATTGGGAGCGAAGAATGGAAGCACTAAGTAAGGCCCAAGTTGCATGTGAATGCTTACATAAGGGCAAAGAAATGCTTCCAGCACGCCAAGTGACAAAGATAGATGCCTAAGCAAATGTAAAGAACCAGCGCTGTCATGTGAGATGAAGGGTCAGCGATCTTATACCTATCCCTTCACACTCCTGACCGGTATACTGGTAAAGAAAAATAATAAAGTATGTTGCTGGTGACATACTTTATTTCTAGGAAGGTCAGTGAGTCACATGCTTTTCCATACCCAGATGTATTGGGAATTGTCGGCCGAACAGAACAACGGGAGAGCAAAAGTAAGGAGGGTGTGACAAACTTCCTGTCATTCTGTTACATCAGGCTTTCTGAATATGAGACACCGAGGCACTTGCTGCGGACCTGCTTGGAAATTCTTATTCATATTTAAATATTAAAGGGAACAGCACAGTCGTAGTCCCACCTAAAGTGAAGACCAATTTCCTGTAGTAAGGCATCACTTGTCTTGCAGGCACTACAGCAGCTAGCTTGAGATGAGCAAAGTGGCAACATATACTTAAGTTATCAGTACATCCTGTATTTATGTCATGCTTCAACTTTCTCATGACTCTGTCTGAGAGCCAGAAATGTGTCCAATACACTCGGGTCAACAGTGGTATAATCAAAAAGGGCAAGTTCTATTTAACCTTAACCCCACTAGCCTCCTAAACTAGAACTTCCCCACTCAGATGCTTACCTACCCTCTCCAGTGTTTATATCCTAAAGCCCAATTTATCTATGGTGCTGGATTCACCCAAGTAGTAACTCCCCATAGACTTGAATGGGGCTGTACCTGTAGGGTCTCTACTGTTGGAAATATGATCCAATTCAAGTCCATGAGGAGTTACTACACAAGCACAGCCAGTGCGAGAGACGATAACAAACCTGGAGGAGGTCACTGCTATCATGGAGAGGTAAGTAAGCAGTCAGATAGGTGATACTATGTTGGACTGGGTTAGGGGGATAAGGAGGAGGGTTGATTGATTTTAAAGACCATAAGTGTGAGAGTTAAATTATTTTGTTTATTTTATTAATGCTGTCTGTGCCATTGGCACCCACCACCAATGTGCAATGGATGCAGCCAATGTGTGCAATGGATACAATTTAACCTTTTGTTCAGGCACCGAAGAATCAGTTCATAACACTGCAGTGTCATTACCACTCCCCTAGGGAGGTGGAATACTGAATACTCAGTCACAAAATGGCTGCCATTATGTACAGGGACATTTGTGCTTTTAGCAT